CGAAAGAGACCACGAAAAATGATGTTGCAAGGCAGACTTTTGACGAACTTGCGATGGATTGTTCGATTTTAGGGTTTGCTTAGGGTTTCACACGCTTGGCGAATGTCACGCTCCCGCTCTTTTACTTCATTTTCGACGATATAGCTCCTGCAGCCTATGTCGGTCGACTCAAGGCTCACAACATCGAAACCGGTCGCAAGTCGACGAACATCGGGTTCTACACCTACTCTGCAGCCTGCAAGCTATCGAAATCGAACGCGATTTTCGAAATGTCTTGGAGTGACGTTCAAACCCGGCCCATGCACGGCCAAATTTCAGGTTGCTTGCATGGTAGGCTTCAAAGTTGGAAGGCGCTAAAACAGTCGCGAACATACATTGGCGTTGCTTCCACTGTGCTTGATAATGAGAGCAGCTGTCCGGTCTTCAAGCGATGGCATTCCAGACGAAGAGGTCAATGGGCTAGAGGACCCAAACATTTTGTCGGAGCAAGCAAATCTAAATCAGCAGGAAGCGGAGGATTTGGAGGCAGCCGCATATAGCAAGAGATCGCCCTTGGAAAAGGGACCTCTTCTTATGTCAATCCCCTTGCAGATTGTTGAAGAAGTTACGGAAGTCACCAAAGAGGAGGAGGAAGACCCCTTGACTTTTGCGCAGCAGATTGCACTTGCACACGACGTCACCAAAGAAGAACACGCGGCTTACGAAGCGGCGCAGGCTAGAAAGGCAGAGAAGCACGCCAAGGGGCAGGCGGCCGCACTAGCGGCATTCCAAGCAGCGAGCAAAGCTGCTCCCCCTCAAATGAAAAAGGGCGCTAACAGAAAGTCCTTTGCCAAGCTCGGGGCAACGGGAAGGCTGAGGCCTGGTGCCGCGGTGCTCAAAGGATTCCCGGCAGTGCCACCAGGGGGAAACAGCAGGGGGGAGGCAGCAGAAGGCGCCAGCCAGCAAGCAGGGGATAACTGCAAGAACAAAGTTCCTGAGCAAGGCACCAAGAAGGCACCAGCACGGGAGACAGAGGCAAAGAAGGCGGCAGCAGGTATTAGCTTTTGAATTTGCTAGGCCTCGCTTTGTCAGCTCAATGCGCTTGGTTACAACATCCTAGCTAGCGGGTTGTATCCCAACCAGGTTGCATGAGCGGTTTATGGTAAATGGGCTGTAGATTTGAGCTCAAATCTTACTGGTTCATGAGCGTCCTAGGGATAGGTGCACGCCGCTTGTCTTTGAACATGATGCTTCGGCGCCTTTTAGAGCAGCTGTCAAGTTGTCGTCAAAGGTTTGGTACTTTAGCAACTTCAGCTAGGAGTTTGTTCAGAACTCGGTGCATGCTCTCGTTTTAGAGTGGTGGGCGCTCATGTTGAACGTAATGCAAGTGGTTTATTGCAAAATACGAGCCCCTCCTTGTTTGTTCTATGATGGGTTTGTTCAAAGCAGGTGCATGCTTGCTGAACTGCAAGATCATGAGGCTCTTTTTGTCAGCTTAGTGCACTTGGTTTGAGCATTCTTAACGAGCTGGTTGTTTCCCAAACAAGGTGCAGAAGCAGTTTTTGGTATGTGGGCTGTAAAGGTTGAGCTCAATTTGATCACTTCACTGAGCGTCCTGGGCGTCTCTTGGTACACCAACTGCCAACTGGTGGTCAATGCAATGGTTTTATAGCTGCTGAATTGTTTGTTCAAAACTAGGTGTATGGTCTCATTTAAGTATGGTGGGCTCTCGTGTGGAACGTAATGCAATTGGTTTGTTGCAAAGTATAAGCACTTTGTTTGTTCCGCAGGCAACAAGCGCAAGGCGCCAGAAGGTCCAGCTCCCACCTCCAAGCGTGATCTGAAGAAGCCGCATCGAAGACCGAAAACGGTAGTAACTCTGTGTTGCTGTTCAAAATCACCTATGAGTACTTCACGGAAGAACTGCCAGTGCTTTTCAAATGTCACGGTCCCGTCCCCCATGCAAGTAACGAGGTCAACCTGATCCAATCAGATTGGCGGACGGCTCGGAATCAATCTGCTGCGTCCATCAAGTACAGAATACTTATTCCGACTTCAATCGCTTCAGATTTAGGAGATCGCAACATTATCCGTGGACAGGATACCGGGTTTGCTGTTATGAACCGACGTTTTGAGCCGGTTTGCCATGAAGTTTGCGTTGGAAGGCGTTGCGTCAAAAGCTGCCGCATTTGTTAGCTTGTGGCAAAGAATTTACACTTATGCTTCTGAATCACGGCCTTCTTTGGCTTTTGCTTTGAGTTCTTTGATTAAAACGCCAGCGTATTCCTTCTGGTTAGCATCGTGAGCAGCTAGGTCGCGCACGCTTATAATCAGAACTTTCGTGTGACCTTGAAACGTACTTTACAAAAAGAGGTTTCACAAGTAAACGTGGCCTTGCACCCCCCGGCCGCCCGTCAGAAGACTCGAATGACGTCCGTGAGTTGTGTGACCTTCATTCGAATTGCGGTGAAGGAGTAGCAAACGGCCGGCTACATCACCAATAGAGTTGCGATGGTGTTCAGTCATGATATGCGAAAGTTCCTTACGTTTACTTCTAAGGGTCAAGGCGCACTGGCATCGGATTGTACGCGTATACAACAGCAAGCAAACGGCCGTTCTTAATCCATCCAGCCTCAGAATGCAGATCAATCTCGTTTGAAACCGAGGCTTTCAGCAGCAAAATAGCCAGACCTTTCACAGCCGTTCAAGGGTGCAAGACCGTTGCATCTGACAGGTGTCCCGGATCTTAGATGACCCGGACTCCTTGGTGGTCCAATTGCTGAACTGTATTCATGCCAAGTCCTAGCTAGAGCACGAGGGCGTCGGTTCCGTGGAAGTAGGGCTATTGGAAGATGGTCCACCAAGTCAGCCGGTTGAACATCCTTACCCTTTGACCAAAGCACTTCAAAAGATCAGTCCTTCAGATGTAGCCTATTCCAGGCTACATTCCAGGCTAGGCAGATTCCAAAGCTCATATTTGCACCCCAGTCAAAGGAAGACGATTGGGCCGATTAGTTGTGGTCGATGCTCCGCAAAGACTCGGAAATCCGCTGGACAATTTCAACCTTTCAAGGTTTTCGGATCATCCGCAGACTGACGATGGGCTATCAAATGGAAACGGGATTGAAGTCAGAGTTTCTCCAGGACCACTAGACGTCACATTCCCAGGCGCTCGTCATGGTTCTTCTTCCGACGACGACTGTGTGATTATCACGACTTCGGTAGCGAAGGGTCACGTCAGACTCGACGTACCTGGACTAGATTGACCAACTTGCTCGAGCAGATTGATCAAGTTGATGCCTTGAATGTTAGTTTCATGCGCCACGAGGAATCTTTCGACTTCTTCAGTGGATGCTCGAGCAAGAGCGGAAACGGCGCCGTTCTCCGGGCAATTTAACGATAGAATGAAAAGCGGGCCGGCCAGGCTCAAAGGCAAGTTGTGCATCTCGGGAGTATTGAACTTAAAGAGGCTCGCTGTTGACTATTTAAAAGGCAATGCTCTAGCTGAAGGGCGTCAATAATTGATGTCGTCAGTTCAGATTGATAATGACGACAACTCGTCACAGCTTGGGTGCTTCCGTCATCATTGCCGCATTGCAACTGGCGCTTGAATCGACCCGAATCGCTGCAGTAGCTTCATCAGAATTCATGAGGAACGGTTGACTTTCAAAATTGTACACGTCACGGAGCTTAACTTGAAGCCGTTTACCCATCCTCTTGCACCTATCCGCCAACAAAGTCCACTCTGAAATGAACGCAAACTAAACTCCGCCCCTTTCGCGGCTGGCCCAGCTCCTTCGGCTCCCAGGTTTAAAAAATTCAAAACGGGAATTTTTGAAAGCACAGCAAATACTTGAAGCAACGTTGGTCTAAAGGCCAACAAAGGGCTAGCGTCATTGGCAGTATTGCGGTCAGACTGCGCTGCGGACTTGTACTTCAAGCAAGGCATTGGCAGGCAGGGAGTCCACATTAAAACAAATCGGAGCACCCAATATAAAAAGGGGGGGTGCGAGCGGCTCGGAAGTGTAGCCAAATTGTGTCTTTAGAACGGCTGAGGTTCGGAGAATTCGAAAATGTATGTCGGATCGATCTAGCGCCTGTTGCAGCGGACTCGGAATGAGCGTCCAAGAATCGGCAAAAGCCATGTCCGAAGGCAGGTAGCCCAAAAAGAGTGGAAAGACGCCGCGTCAAATAATTGGCATTTTTCCGATGCAAAATAATAATTTGAGGGACCTACTGGATCGAGTTGTTTTCACAGATCCAAGATATCTTTTGGGCTGCTTCTTAAATCGATCTTGGGAAGATTTTGAAGGCTTCATTGGATCACATGCTGCGATGACGAAATTTGCCAGCCTTGGGCTCCAGTAATCCTGGCCTGTTTGCTTTTGCTCAGATTTCTTGATCGACGCGCCAGCGGCATGGCAAGGAGTTAGCCACATTTACCATAACCCGAGTTAGCAGCGCGCAGCTTGCAAAAGAGAACACTTCGATCTTCCTTTGCGGCCTTGACCAACATACTAAATTCCAGACGGAAACGAGCTAAGTCATTCAGTCAGTCAGTGATCATTCAGCATGAGGAAGGGAGTGCTGAGTACTAGCAGTACTGCAAGTCCCGGGGGAAAATTGAGTGCCTTGACGTCGACAATTGTAAGCACAGACGCGCTGCTGCATCGTAATATAGAGCACTCTGCGCTCCGAACTGCGGCCCCTCTAGCGACAGGGCAACGATGTGGCGCTGAAAACTTAAACCGCGTGTTGTGCGGAGAAACGTCGTCGAGCGCAGCCGCCTGCAGGGCCAACGGCTTGATGCTTTTGAATGTGTGAGGCCCGCCCGGGCCGGATTAAGTATTTTTACGGAACCCAACCTGGAATTGCAAAAGGCGTACCTAAGGCGACAAGAAAGCTGGACGCTACAGGTTGACGGCCGGCTCGCATCTGCCTCAGATCAAGTTAGCCCAATAGCGAGCAGTATAAATATGAAAACACCGGGGCCATGATTCTTGTGAAATCACAAGGTCATAGCCACCCTCTTTCTTGCAGGAACGGCAGGAAGCGGATCATGGTAGCTCCTTCTTCGAGAGAACTCTTGACGTCTCAGGTCCGACAATGTTATATTTTAAACTTGCGGACAAAAGTATCCGAATACTTGGGTTTGGAGCCTGCCCACATACGGCATTCCAATCCATGCACGACGAGAAGGCGCTAAGGTTAGAAGGGAGGCAATTAAATCTCATGCGCCCATACATTGGAAGCACACGCCAAAACAACACTCTAAAAGCACTCACCTCCAATCGGTTGGCGCCAAGGACCCGTGTACCTTGTCTAACACTTGCTGCGTGATCTCCTTGACCACGCGAATGAAGGGCATGCGGCATAGTTTGGACATACGGCCATTTTGCTTCAAACATACGCGTATTATACGTTTTTCGGCGTCTTCCCAAAAATACGTCAAAAATACGGCCATTTATCGACTTGAGAGACTGCGGTGCCATTCTCGTTCGAAAAGCGACAAAAAAGCGGAGTTTTTGCCTTCCCGTATGGAACTATACCTCTAAGAGGATGGCAGGACTTGTTAGGCGTCAATTTACAGAGTAACTTGTCTAATCAAGCTTTTTCAAGCAAAATTAGGGTCAAAATCCAAAACGACGTGGCGTATTTTTGCCGTATTTGAATTTTCGCTTTTTAAAATACTTCAAAACACGTGATTTTCGACCCCTCGGAAAAATACGCGTATTTCGTATGTCCAAACTAT